TCCGGGCGTTCGAGCATCTGTATCGAATTTCAATCGGGCCGCTAACGAAAAGCTGATTAGAGAGAAATCTAGGAGTGGCATCGCTGTTTTGATATAACCGCCTCTGCGGAATATAACCGCCTCTGCCCTTAACAGAAGCATTCCATGACCATCCGCAGATTGCATCAGCGCGGTGGAAGGGCGTTTGGCGAATGGGCTGACCGTTATGAGGCTGATGTTTCGGAGCAGAGTGGGGCACTTCCGGCGCCGCGGTCGGCGCAGTGACATTTCCGGCGCTATGAGAGAGCTGTTTTACAATTGCGTCACGGGCCGCGGGGCCGCCCACATTCAGCGGAGCAGACTGGGGGAGTGTGGGGGATCGGGGGACCGGGGAGTGGTTAGAACAGGGGTGGAGAGGACGGGGTGGGATGGAGAGTGATAGCGACAGGAGGGCTACAAATCTGTGATTGATTTATTTTGCTCTTGTGACTGTGGTGATGATTGTGGTCCATGACTGAGCGATTTTGTTGGTTGACTTTCTATGACTGGTCTTTGCTGGTCTCCAGCTTTACAGCTTGTCTGTGAACATAAATTTAAATCGTTCATAAACCTATATGAACCTTATCACAAACCACATCCTCTCACCCTCCCAATACGCTTATCGCCCATCACACTCTACGGAAGATGCCCTCCTCGACATTGTCGGATGGACAGCTGAAAAGATTGATGTCGGTCACCTTGTGTCACTAACATCGATCGACTTGAGCAAGGCCTTCGACAGCGTCGACCACCCGATACTGCTGGACAAGTTAGAGTGGTACGGTGTATCATCCAGCTGGTTCAGCAGCTACCTGTCCGGTCGCTCCCAACTTGTCCGTGGAGGATCCTCAGCGGCTCTTCCTCTCTCACATGGAGTCCCCCAAGGCTCTATAATCGGTCCCATCCTCTTCCTCATCTTTATCAACGACCTACCATCTTTCCTGCCCCATGGTAGACTAGTATCCTACGCAGATGATACCCAAATCCTAGACTCAGCACCTAACAATCCTGACGAACTCCAAGCGCTGAGGTATCGAGCCGAAAATAACGTTGAATGTCTTCAGCAATGGTTTAGTAGAAACAGTCTGAAAATGAACGCAAGCAAAACTTCTTTCATTATCATTGGCACAGTAAATGCAGTTGAAAAAGCATCATCCTTCACGATTCGGATAAATAACGAAGAAATCCGGCCACAAAAACATCTAAAAATCCTGGGCGTTGAATTCGATCAGACCCTCACCTGGGAGCGCCACATATCCTCAGTCGCCCGGCGTACCAACGCAATAATCATATCTCTTTTCAAAATCCGATCTCACCTCTCAAATGACATCCTCAAAATTCTTGTACAGACCCACGTCCTCCCTCACCTTCAGTATTGCTTGTCAGTATGGGGTGGGGCGACACGCACCCGCCTGAACCGACTGCAGAAGGTCATAAATTTTGCCGCCCGACTGGTATCTGGTTTACGCCGAGGCGACCATATATCCCCCGCCCTCGCGACGCTTGGGTGGCCCGATATCGACACGCTAGTGATGCGTCGCGACGCGATAAACATCTACCGCGCCCTACATGACCCCGCAGCCCCCCAGCCGCTCAAAGCCATGGCGCGCCCTCGCCAAACAGTGTGTTCGCGTCGAACGCGAGCCACCGCCGCCGGCGCTGCGGTACTCGCGCCCCCTCGCCTCCAGCTGACGACCGCGCGGCGACTTTTTCCTTACCGAGCCGCCGTGTCATGGAATAAACTTTCGCGTGTGACTACACTTTCCACGTCACGTCGCCAGCTCATGACCAGGCTGGAACAGTGACAAATACCCTCCTTATCTGCTTGTTTTCAACTGTGTTACTTTCATTACATGTATGTGTGTTTGCAAACGTATGTTGTGCTGTCAATGCATCGCCATGTTAACTGGGCTCGTAATAGCCACCTGTGGAGAGTTTCCAGTATAAATACAATACAATACAATACAATATATGCTATTGTTATATCAGTGGTGCTAGTGAAACGGTTATCATCAAATCAGCATTGAACACATTACTCGTAAGTCAATGAATCCATAATTGAACCAGTTAGTAAGTGTCCATTTATTTTGTTTAGCCGTGGTAAGTGTGAATCCGTGTACTTCATGCCGTATATCAGCTGGTGCTCCGCCGGATCGCGTGCTATCCGGTACGAAAATAATCCTCTGGCCTGGGTGGAGCTGTTTGCCGTGTGCGCTATCGGGAGGCTCGGAGTTAGCAGAAGCCACAGGGTCGGCATGCGGTTCTCGCGTGCTCAGATGCAGACAGGCGGAAAATGTCAATATTCACTGCTGCAGCTGTTATTATTGCCAGATCTCGGGAGATATCAGGGGAGCAAAGACCTCTAGATCTGCAATATATTTATGCTGAAGCGTTAGAGATAGAAGAAACGGATTCGAGTGATCTATGCTCATGCTGACGTTCGGTACCAACGAAAGCAAAGCGTATTGTTATGCGACTTGAAAAGTAGAGTTTACTTTTATAAACGCCTCTGTATTGATCAGCGGCTATCATGAGCATAAGTCATTGAAAAGTTCAGATAAACTACCAACTACTCACGTAATCCATCGTCAATCTTAGAAGACGACACCCAGATAGCCAGTCTAGGAGCCAGTGTTCACTGACACGACACTATTTGAAATTCACACAGCCTGTGAGCTCGGCTGGTGAGCTCAGGCGCCAAGGTGCGCCGATGTCGCCGATATCCCCTAGATAAGTGAGCACCTGACAGCGGCACACGCATGATGGATGTGTCAAACGCCTCATCTGCCGAGACGTCCGTCAACTCCTCGGCGATGGTGATTTGTTCCCTTCAACACCGCAGCGTAGCTCCGACAGATCGCCAGACAACACTGCGGGACGCTCACACGAGCCGAGTGCCTGCGTGTCTGCCGAGATCTCGGTCCGTTCTTTGCGTTCTGACAGCCATCTCGGCCTGCAAGGCCGCCGAGCTAGCCAAGCAAGCCGATTGATGTGCGGCGTGCGGCGCTGCGTTCCGTTTATTTTCACATATCACCGCTTCGCCGCCCGGCTGAAAAGCTCGGCGGGGGTGCACTCGCATCAGCGGCGCGCCCGTGCTGTGCACTGCACGCTGCGTGCACATCGCTGGCCGAGGGCACGAGCCTTCGCCGAGCGGGTAAACATCCTGTCGGTGGAGTGTCGGCCTGAGACACCCCGCGGCTGTCTTCCGCCGAGTCGCAGACGAGTCGGCGACTGGTGGCGGTGCTAAAAATACGCGTCATCTGCTTATTTGTCGTTACAAGTAACGGGCGTGGTGATAGCCGGCCGGCCGTTCGTTTCTCATTATGTCAATGTGGTGAGACTTGGTGGCCAGACGTGTGCACCGAGTGCTGAGAACAGAAACGTTAGTTGTGACGTTTTGCCGGGTAACGTGTAACATATGGTATTGTTCCCCTAGCAGCCCGTGGTGGTATTCGATATTATACACATGTCGTGGGACGGCGACGGTTATTTATCAATGTTAATGTTCCAGCTGTCCCCTCGTTTGTCCTGCCGGAGTGCAAGGACAGCTTTTGGGAAGCAGTTGGTTTATGTTTGCAAGTTTGTGTGACTGCCATCCGACTAAGTTTGCTGGGAAGCACAAAGTCGCATAGAAGTTCATATGTTCATAGAAGGCTTGAATACCCACAGGGCATATAAGATATACTATACCTATAGGCTTTGGACTTTGGTTGCATTTGTATCAAGTTGACTTATGGTGTTCGTGCCTTTTCAGTAACATCGCTGTTTGTTTTCCTGAAGCGAAATAAAGGTCATTTTTGTGCGTTGCTGCAACGTTGCCCATTTTGTTTCTATGCGTGCAATTTTCTTTTATTCATGTCACATGGCTGTTTTCCAGTGGCGGATCCAGGGGGGGGGGGGCAAAATGGGCATTTGCCCCCCCCCCAAGCGGCATAATTTTAACATTACGCCTATGGACGATGCATGGAAAGAATCGATAAATTGTTATGGTTTCCCCCCCCCCCAAAAAAAAAAAACTCTGAGCTGGATCCGCCTCTGCTGTTTTCCGATGTTTGGGTAAACTCAGTAGGTACAGGACTGCAATGCTGATGTGGACAATTCATGGTTTTGCGATTATGATCATGCAAAAGAGAGCAGCTACAAATTTTAGTCCGTCAATATTCAATGTTTTCTGTGGAATTACCAGCCCAACAAATTTCGGCGTCTGCTGCTTTCTTTTGTAGATTGTGCCGATTTGATTTCAAAATAACTTCATGTTGTCAGGATTATAATGAAACTATTTGGTAATTTCAGTCAAAACTGTTTTGATTATTACACTGGCGCGAATGCCTATGTCAAAGTGGTCGCATAAATTGCTGTAGGTATGCGGAGACTGATAAACGCAACCGGTTTTACCTCAGCCAAAAAGTGCAGAAAGTCCCTATACGGAAAGCAATGCATGCACAAATAGCTGTGGCTGCATTACATTTGAAACAGGTTTTTTAAAGAATACATGAGATTATTTGCTTTATCACATTTCATTTTATTGCAATCGACAGAGCGCGAGTCAGGAATGGAATAGCCCCTAAGCGCATGCTGTTCCGCACGACACTGCTCATTTTAAATTTTGTCAATAGATGGCAGCAGCGTGTAGCGCCGTAAGCTATGCTGCGCCGCAAGGCACCTCGACTGAAGTTGGGGTAATGACGCAGGTAATTTAAAAGATCCTTTCGTTCTACAACTTTGTGTAGCAATAAGTATTGCATATACAAGAAAGTTCATTTTTCTTTCAAGTGGTTCGCCAAGTGTATTTGTAAATTACTCCTAACAGCCATAAAATCATTTTATTATTCTCTGCAGATCCACCTTACCTGCAGCCCGTCTCGTTATTGGCTGCCGCTCCGGCCGTTCCGTTTTTGCCGGACGGTCGGCTGCGCGCGGAGCGCAGGTTACCGACCAGCTGGGAGGTATCGCAGCCGGAGTGCCTCGTGGGCCGTCCCGGAGAAAGGTTGGGGGCGGACTACGTTCGTGTGGTGCTTGGAGTGTGACGATAGCGTGTGGACAACTGTGACGCTCTACGGTGGACAATCCACGGTGGAAGACCACCGAGGTGAGATGTGTTTGCCCGTGGGGGCGGCGCGCGGTATGGAGTGAGTGGAGCGAACATTTCTGGACGATTCCATTCCCGCGCGATGAGACAGCACGGACGTTCGAGCTTGAACGACTGCACAATAGTGGACTTCTGGTGTTTGGAGATGTTCTACGGTGGACGGGGTGCTGAGTGAAGGTTTCACGGCGGCACAGTGGACGCAGGAGTCGGAGGAGCGACTCCACAGGACGCCATGATGAGGGAGGACCACGAGCCGGAGGTAGGTGATGATGTCACAGGTCATGTCACGGAGGTCACTGGTGTATCCGCCGATTATGTGAGGTATTGATCTGTCGTTGTTTTGTAACCGGTGAAAAATTATCCACACAAATTTTCCATGAATCAGAAATCAGAATGCAGAACCACGTTTCGATGCAATCTCGGTGCTTTGGAGACATTTTGACTTGTAACCGAAGTCCGAGGACTCCGAAATATGTAGGAATGTCTAAAGCCTGATGTTGGTATGAATCGCATTTTCCATGGGCGCGGGAACCGGGGGGGGGGGGGCAGTGGGGGCAGCTTGCCTCCCTAACTTTAGGGCCGTGGGGGTGGTGCCCCCACAACTTTAAGACGGAATACCGCACTTTTTTTGCAAATGTTTTCTTTTTTGTTGAAAAAGCCAAGGGATGAAAAATAAGTGGCCTAAAACCGGCGAGAAAACTAAATTTGGGGGTACCCTAGGTTGATCTCTATCATGGTGTGCCCCCCCCCCAGTCTGAAAGTAGTTCCCGCGCCCCTGGCATTGTCTAAATAACTTCTGAAACAAAAACTATACAATGTCTCACGTCTCACGAGACAATTAATAACAAGTCAATCCATAGTCGCTGACGTTTGTCCTTCAAACATTTAAGTTTGTCAAACATTCTGTAATCTGTTTCATTTATTTCCGTACCTACTCAGTACCTACCCACTGCCATCAAATAGGGCTGAAATAAAAATCTGCGTAAGTTTCACATTGAAGATGACCAAGCCGGGGGGCGGGGGGAGGTAACAACTGCCGGCGGCTTTGCCTCTCGGGCTTCAACGCTCATTGGGACAGACATTGGGCCGGTCTGAAGCTCATGTATGCCTCCCAGGTCGCAGTCGGCTTATATCGACAGCTGAAGCACGCCACTCGGTCTCCGTTTGTCCTTGGCTAGTGCCGGCGGGAGTGGCTCGTCTCTCCTTTCTGGGTCTGTGCGTGGGCGACCCTCGACGGGGCAGGGCGGGGGGGGGCCGGGCCGGGCGACTCCATGAGGGGTGCTGAGCCGCACCCGTGAGAAGGGTGAAAAATGGCCCGGTCACTGCCTGGTCGCCGATCGGTCACCGCCCATTGGTCACCTGTTCTGGCCAGCGGTCACCTGGTACTGATTAACGATCACTGGTTACTAGTCGCCCGTTACGGTCATTCAAGAGTTGCGCTCTCGGAGATAAGGGACGGCCACAAATAATAAGCTCGGGACACACCGGGTAACATTGTGATGTCGGTGTTTACCGCTGGCTGCCCACACGGAGACACGGCGAGGGATTAGAAGGGAGGGCTACCTGGCGGCGCTGCTGGTCCCGCGCACTCGCCGCTGTACCGGTCTGGCCATTCAGGTGAAAACTCGTGTGTTGCCAGATGTAATGATGAATCACAAATATGATTATTAACTTAAAACACACCCTGTTAATTTTTTAAAAGAAATTTTGTCTGAATAGCAAGATGACCTGGTGGCTGCGGTCCTGGATACCCATTACCCACTCAGCGGATGGGTATACGAGCTAAATCCTCGGTGTGTTGGTCAGCACGATTGTATGCACCGGATATACGACGCATATAGGATATAGCACATTAAGATCATTTAGGCTACTCTACGAGTTTGTTTTTCAATCATGCCATTCCATTTCACATTTGCATTGCCATGCCATGCCATGATGCCATGCCATTACAAAACCGAGTCTGTGGCTGCGTGTGCGTGCGCCCTGACAGCCGGTGATCGTTTGTTTGCGCTGCCTCGACGGCCTGTCAATGCTATCGGAAGTGGAACGATAACAAACACGGTAAATGGAGCATGATTTGATTTCGATGCCAACTGAGTGATTTATTGATCCCAATAGCACTCTAACGACCAAGATCCCTCTAAACTCCAATAACACATAAGTTTTTTTTTTGTCGTCAACCGCGGACTGAGATAAAGCGACGTGCTAGCTGGGTGCTTCTCTGCACCCTAATGGCCCGTATGTACCATTACTTTCCACGTCTGTTCCCTGCACCCCCTCTCCTGGCACGCGTATGCTGAAGAGTAGCTCTCCCACCTCCGCCCGGTGCTCGCATTTCATTCTGGACGAACGGAATCGCATTTGCAGCCGGGCGCGCCGCTCGGAGCGCCGAGAGCTGTCAGTCTGCGTCGGCACGGCTGCAGCCTCCGGGCTCCCCCACTTCCGGGAACGGCCCGGACCGGCCCGGACTCCGGACGGGGACGGCTCCGGCAGCTCCCCGGGCGCTCATGGGTCCGGGAACAGTCTGCGGCAACCGGCTGCGTGCGGACCGCTGGGCGCCCACAGCTGTGTTAATGCGGTTTTGTCGTGCCTGTCGGACGTTTGACCCGATGTGTTGAGCGTGTGTGAGCAGTTTTCGGCCTCCGGGCGCCGCCCCTGGCGTCAGACCGAACTCTGCTAACAGTGGGCGGCGCAAGATGAGTTAACCTCGAACATGATGGACTGATGTGCTGAAGGCATAAGCGTTGCCGCGAACATTGGCTAAACCATGGCCGGTCTGCAAACGTCCGTAATTGGCTGCGAATGGTTTGCGGATGCTGTGTCGGCCCTCTCGTGCTGTCTAACACGCACTGGGGTGGCTGGTCACGGATGTAACACCGCCCAGTTAGTGGGGAGATCGCGTGTTTCCACGGTGATGCAGAGCTTCCCTCCCGCTCCGCCCCTTGCCGTCCGCCCATTGTGGTCGTGCAGTGGTATATGCGCCGATAAAGAACCCAGAGTGAACAGTCATCGCCCACGGGGCTGGACCGATGGGCGACCGGATTCGCCGCTACGCCCGTCTTTCAGTGCCAAGGACGGATACGTAATGCATGCATGGTTAAAACACATGCACTGAGTGCGTGCTTTGCAAGAATGTGTGCGTGACGCGGGATGTGTGTTTAATCCGTATCTTATTGCCTTCAGTAAGAAGGTGGTTCCTGGGATATCAGAGTGTTTATCATAATCAAATGCAAAGCTCTCAGGTGGATGTAAATTGTAATGTAAGTAACTCACGCGGCACTTGATCGGGAACATGAAATACTCGACTTTGGCATGATATAGCTCCATATGTCACATTGAAACAAAACAAAACCGGCACGGGTCAAAACACACGACACATCTGGCCCATTTCGAGCTTGCAGGGCATATACACGCCATTTCCGACTCCAATAAGCCTTGTTTAATCGTCTGGCACGCGGAACCGGCGCTCTCCTTCCTCTACTGAAACCTTCTGGTGACCTTCCCGCCTGCCGCCGACGCCCTCCGACATGGAGCCGGCCCCGCCGGACAAGCTTGACACGTGTTCGGCAGCGGACATGAAAACGGGAAACCACTCTGACTGCGCCGCTCGGCGTTCGAGAACTCGCAGTGGGGCCGCCGAGCGGAGAATGTGCCTCGGTTTCTGTGAAACATAACCAGGCGACCTCGGCGGCGGCGACTGCGAGGGACTGGTTTATCGATATTGGTAGTAGTTCACTCGACTCGTCCCAACACTGACATCGTAGCTCCCTGGCGTCTGATACAGCATCCCACTCGTGCCGCTGTCACTGCTGCGCCTTTGCAGTAATCTCGATGGACATGCCACCACGTCTCTGAGCGGTGACTCTCGGAGCTGTGGCCCGCAGGGAGCAGGGTCTGACTCGGCAGTCAGCGGAGCACGGGTCGCCACAGCCGCCGCCGAGTCGCCATGCGGAGCTGCCAACGGACGACGGGGACGTCCTCGGATAAGATCGGCATTGAATTGGAAATGATGTTGCAGACTGAGAGGGGAACGCCGGCTGCTTTTCATGCTGAGTCTGACGTGGCATCGCCGGCGCCTTGTTAGGTTTTAGCCTGGCTCCTGTGAATTCCCTGTAGGTACTCACAGCGTTGTATCTTGAAAAATACAACCTCACAGCGCCTGAAGTGTCACCAATTTCGCTCAATGCGATTAGTTCTAATGCCGGATGCAGACGCACGCCGCTGGGGCTGGCTAGACGGTTGCGGCGTCGCGCGCGGTCGGTGTGACCATTTGGGGAGCGCGTGGTGGCACCGCCAGCCAGTCCGGTCCCTGACGGGCCGACGCCGGTCGTCTGGGACTTGGAGAGGGCGCCGGGACGCCGGGCGGCTCAGACCGGATATTGTCCGACGGGACAGACGCCAGGGGACGGTGGGATGAAATGTGGGAGCGGAAAGATGAGACGCCTGTGCGGTGTCTGCCGGGACGCGAAGAAGGGAGGAGCTGCAGGGATGAGCGATAGGCTATACGGATGTAAAAATGGGCATCAGACAGTGCTAGGGTTGGCTCTTGGTGGCAGATCTCTGAAATGTTTCACTCCTGGTGTTCTGAAGTGAATTGGAATTGCTATCTTTGCATGCCTTAGTCAATTTTCTTTATGCCGAAGTGTTGCCATTTTCATGGACTCTTTAGTTTAAAGGGACTATCCCACCTTTAACATGGGGTTTGAGTTGAGATAGCCAAGTTCAAGTTTTCATATTTTTCATATTTGCTGGCCTGTATAAAACCTATTTTTGTTTGCCGAAGTAGAGCAAGACAGCAACACAATTATGCAATCTGATCCACATGCCGACCCAATTGTCTGCTATTGCCCTAACAAAATAACCTGGTGTGCTCTGGCTTGACCTGCTCGCCTTGAAGGGGTTTTGTGTTGGTGGGATAGCACCGGCACCTGCAACGGCATTAACAGCGCGACTGGACGGCCGGGTCAGCGGTGGGTCTGATGAGGGCACCAGCAATCGGGTCACGGCTGAACGGCGCCGGGCGCGGCCGGGGAGGGATGAGGGGAGAGGGGCGGCTGGGGAGAGGTCCGGAGGAGCAGATGTTAGGAGGAGTGGCCGGGAGAGCGGCCACAGATGGAGGGAGGAGGCCCCAACAGATGTAAAGAGGTGGGAGGAGAGCCGAGTATCCATTACACGTCAGTTTTGAGGAGGCGGTTGGTGGGTTACCACTGCTGGAAGCCGTAGGTAAATAATGCTCTTCGGGCCGGTGTGCGGCATTTA